AAAATGAAAATTATTCATTAGATATTAATAATTTTGAGTGTTTAAAGCCTTATAAACTGATGTTTGAGCTGTATAAAGAAGAAAAGTATTAATAAATGTTAAAAGTGTGCCAAATTGATGACTTAATTAAGGTTTAAAATGTCCTGAATAGAGTTTAAACAGTTTGTAGGTCGTTTTCTTGAGTGTGTCTGTGTGTCTGTACGCTTATATTAATGCAATACAGCAAAAGAATGACGTTCAGAATAGGAAAATTACTTTTTTAATACATAGTCTGTAATATCATAAAAAAAGGCCTGCCATTATCTACTGTGTAATTATAGTTTTAAGAGCTTAATTCTATAACTTATTTATTTTTAAAACATTTTATAAATTAGTGTAAGAAAACAAATAAAATTTCAATAATTTTTTTACGTTTCTGAATTATTATTATTATTATTTTCTATATTAAGTTTCAATTAATGGTAAAACAATTCTCTTAAAATATCTGAATTGTTTTTTCTTTGTTAAAGGTCAGTCATTGTTTAAGCATTTATTTAAATGTTTATTATGTTGCGTTGAAGGTGAACTCGTAAATAATTGTATTATTATTAATAATTCAAAGTTTTAACAATATAATTTAAAATTTTAAGATCTGTAGAACTATTTTTTAGTATTGTTGTTGAAGGATACAGGTGCAAATTTAGGGGTGAGCAGGGTGCAGCTGCACCTCCCCTTCTTGAAGGTTTTTCCTAAGTAAAACCAGGTTAGGAAAATATTTGAGGTTTCTAAATTGTTTTAAATTAATTATATTTACAAAACAAAAGTGCTGGAATATATTGGTAATTGTCAATTCTGTCATAGAAGATACTTGCTGTAAGGGATTAATTATCGTTAAGGATGATAATTCTATTTTAAAATTCCCTAAAAGATCTTTATAAAAGATCCTTGAGCTTGCCTAGAGATTCTCTGATAACTGTCTTTGGGGGTTATTCTCCTTTAAGAGCATTGTAAGATGGAGATCTTGAATGATAGAATGTTGTATACAGTTGTCAGATGTCCCGGTTTTTTTTACCTACTGCTATTTAACGACAGGAAGACTTTACTATAAAAACTATTATTATAATAAATTATCTTTTTCTTTACCACATTTTAAATGTATTTCTGTTACTGGCAGAGTAAGAATATGCATCCTTCATATCCTGGAATTGATGTGTTCTTAGTATCTTTCGGGAAGAACTCATTTTATGCCCAAACACCGACGACAAACTGTCCTTATTTCTTCACAAATTGCAAATTTATATGAAATTTTATTTGTATTTTTTTAAATATTAAATCAATCGTTGTTGCCGGAACTGAAAGTAACTCGTGGTTTACCTTGTACATTCAGATTTTTGAAGATAACATTCAACATTTAGTTTATTTTTTTTAATGCAAATTGCATTATAATGATTCCTAGAAGTTTGTGAAAAGTGTAATTATGGTTATAAAATATTAAAATATAAATTTAACATTATTCTTACATATATATATATATTTTTAACAGGATCTTACGTTTCTCTCTAAAAGTGAAATTAAAAAGTAAGTATATTAAAAAATATCAAAAATATTTAAAAATAATAATTTTTTAAATTAAATTTGCTATATATATATAAGAATATCTCAAGTTTAATGGTTTAAAGTAAGATTTTCTTGTAATTTATAAACATTTAGAAAAAGTTCCATATACATATATACTTTAAAATTATTTTTAAATAAAGAATTTCTGTAAATTTCCTGAAGTTCCAGCTTCTAAAGTATTTTTAATTAATTTATAACGTTGATTCCATTTCTTAATTACAAGAAAAACTGATTTGCAATGCGCAACAAACTCATGAACGACTAGATTCATGGATTCCTCACTGCAGAAAGAAAGATTGTACGTAATTAGCATAAGATATTTTGAATCAAATAAGAAAAAAATTCCAAGTAATAATCGTTTTAGAAAGGATGTTAAAATACTTCTTTATTTAAAAAATATTTAATAAAGCTATATCAACAATTTTAAGCATACGTAAACAATATATATTTATATCTTTGTCCTTGTATTTTATGGTATGTTTAACTAGTTATTGACTTAATTTATTTAAAAATACTATAGAAAAAAAGGTCTGTTATTACACAGAAATAAATTTCTATGAATACCAGTGGTTTAAGAATAAAATAATTGTAAAAATTTATTAAAAGAAGTAGCTTTCTAGCTACATTTCTAAGCAAAACTATTCTGTTAAAATGGATAATTAATCCATTATGTAGTTATAAATGCATTTAAACAAACGAAATGAATTAAATAATTTCATAAGCAAAGCTTTTAAAATAATATTTACATCACACGACATTTATTATAACATCCTTCTTCAGTACAATGACTTCAGTTTCAATTGAATGCCTTGTACTTAAATCCACTTAATGTAGAAAACAATGCATTTGGTAATACATTTTCTCTAAAATAGGAATGTAATAAAGTAATTTAATTGCTAAAAANGAATTTCTTTAAATTTCCTGAAGTTCCAGCTTCTAAAGTATTTTTAATTAATTTATAACGTTGATTCCATTTCTTAATTACAAGAAAAACTGATTTGCAATGCGCAACAAACTCATGAAGGACTAGATTCATGGATTCCTCACTGCAGAAAGAAAGATTGTACGTAATTAGCATAAGATATTTTGAATCAAATAAGAAAAAAATTCCAAGTAATAATCGTTTTAGAAAGGATGTTAAAATACTTCTTTATTTAAAAAATATTTAATAAAGCTATATCAACAATTTTAAGCATACGTAAACAATATATATTTATATCTTTGTCCTTGTATTTTATGGTATGTTTAACTAGTTATTGACTTAATTTATTTAAAAATACTATAGAAAAAAAGGTCTGTTATTACACAGAAATAAATTTCTATGAATACCAGTGGTTTAAGAATAAAATAATTGTAAAAATTTATTAAAAGAAGTAGCTTTCTAGCTACATTTCTAAGCAAAACTATTCTGTTAAAATGGATAATTAATCCATTATGTAGTTATAAATGCATTTAAACAAACGAAATGAATTAAATAATTTCATAAGCAAAGCTTTTAAAATAATATTTACATCACACGACATTTATTATAACATCCTTCTTCAGTACAATGACTTCAGTTTCAATTGAATGCCTTGTACTTAAATCCACTTAATGTAGAAAACAATGCATTTGGTAATACATTTTCTCTAAAATAGGAATGTAATAAAGTAATTTAATTGCTAAAAATGTATACATTTTCTCCTAAATATGGCATTATTACTAAAATTAAACTGAACAAACTAAACGCATTTCCATGAAAATGGTAGAATTTTAAGGTTGAATGAGTAATTTTGAGTATTTTTCAGGTCTAAATGTCATTGTTTTTTTTTTTTAATTTTAATAATTTTCAATGTAAAAAATGAAGCTAAAAAAATAAAATTATGATAATTATTTATTTAAAAAAACTCCCCCTTATCCCTGATAATGATGATTGAATAGAAGTTGTAACATTAACAATATCATTTTAAAGATAATAATTGTGTATTAATGTTTATTCTCGTGTCCTTATACGGTTAAAATGTGACAATGTCAATTAATGACGTAAAGGAAACTGTCATTCGATTGTTAAAGATTTCGACACCCAGATTCTTTCAACCGAATTACGTGATGCTGAAAGGATATCCTTTCTACAAAGATAGCGATTATAATCAAGGACGAATTTTATTATTATAGAAAATTTTTTTGAATTTTTAAAGAAAACAAAAAATTCTACAAAAAAATATATTTTTTTTCTATATAAATCTGGCTTTATATTATAATTTAGTGTGGCTGGCTTATATTATAATAAAGTCTGGCTGACTTTATATTATAATTTAGTCTGGCTGGTTTATATTATAATAAAGTCTGGCTGACTTTATATTATAATTTAGTGGAAGAGAAGGGTCTATTATATGTTATTGCTTAGGCCACAAGTCTTCCCATCAAACTACTATAAAATAAAATATTTAATGCTTCAGTCTAAATTAAAAAAGTATGCTACAGAGAAAATATAGATTACAATTAGACCTATTTATTAAATGAACATGTTTAAACATGTTTATTCTTGTTTAATAAAGTCTGTTTTTGTTTGTTAGTTAATAAATACAACTTTAATAACGTGCATCACAGTAATATTTTGGAATACAATTAAGTAGAGTAATTATTAGGAAGGTTTTCAGGTTTACATTAAATTTATTAAATTAAATTTAATAAAATATTTAAATTATATTATTATAAGCTAACTTTAAAATATTTCTCTATGTAGAACACTCTAAAATATATTTAAATTAAAAAACTACATAATTAAAAATATATTTTATAGCCTATATAAAAATGTTCAGCAAATATTTTAAACGATAAATAAATATAATATAAATAAATAATAACATTTTTAATGATTGAAACGTCACTTTAACCTCCGGGAGAATGTAAAAGTGTAACTCAACCGTGACACCTCATTAAAGTCTTATTAATAATTAGAATATGTCAATTAATACCAATTTATATTCTATTCATCACAGTAGACGGGGTGTAGAGATGCGTGTTTATCACCCTGTGATAAAAAATTATCTTAATTTTTTAATGGTAAATGCTTTATTGATGTTAATTATCCAAGAATTTCATTAATTCCCTAGCTAAATACCACGCTTACATTAAATATTTAATGCGATAAGTGCCATTATTTTGATCATTTTTAAGTTAAATTTTTAAATATTTCATAACTTTGCTGCTTAATTATAAATTAATCATATTTACTTCGACATGACCTGTATTTTNTTTGGAGGTCCTACCTTCTATTTATTAAAGAAACAATATTTTATGTCTAATAATTCTAAACAATTTATTAATTTACTTAACATTTAAATTCTTAAAATCCATGCATTAAGTCCCTCTTAAAGTTATTAAATACAGCCTGTAGGAAGATCCAAAAGTCAGTTAACCACCCCAATAAACTATAATTAATTTCTTAAAGAGCTTCAATCCATATATTGAACCAGAGAGAACAATTATTGTAAATAATAATGTATTTTAACAAGACAACAATATAATATTTACACGGTTAATTGAATTTTGGACTTATTTTAGAAATATAATAATGCTTAAAAGTAAGTTTAATATAACGAACTTACATTTAAAACGATAATAATATCCAATTTATATAAAGGATAAATAAATCTATTACTCCTCTTAACATCGCATTCTCGAGTTTTGCTAGAACTCAACACTTTTACACGTGAGACACGGACACACGTGTACAAGTAATAGAGTAGGAGGGACTCAAAAGTTTCATAACAATTACTAAGAATAGCAACACTTTCATAACATTTACTAAATATTTTAAAGGCTGTAGCAGTAAAATTTACTCTTAACATAATTTCTTTTCTGTTTTTTTTATTCTTCTGAACTTGATATAATATGATTTAAATAGTTTTCTAGGAAACAATTTATTGCTTTTTTTCTCTACTGAGACCTTCAATCAACTTTACCATAAAATCTAAGATATGAATGCTTATGAATGGATTTACCTTTTTTTTAAAAAAAAAAATATTGTTTTAGATATTTAAACACGTTAAAATTAAATAAATTTGTTTATTTTTTAAAGAATTTTCAGTCGTTTTAAGGCAATTAAACCTGATCTAATTAAAGTGGATAAATCAACAAGATTGCCAATCTCATTAATTCAAAGTATACCAGAATTAGAGGTAAAAGAATCAATTATTTAATTAACATTTTCTGTATAAAAGTAATATTTTTACTTAAAATTATTCTTGTATTTTTTTAGAATAATCCTTTTTCGGATAGATTATGCGATATATTTACTTCAGAAGAAGATGATTGTATGTCTTTCGAAGACTTTTTAGACATGGCATCTGTACTTAGCGAAGAAGCACCTTTTCAAACTAAAGTTAAATATGCTTTTAATATATTTGGTGAGTTATTAATTGATTGGAATTATAAAAAAAAAAGAAAAAACAATTTTTTTTAAATTTAAGAATATATATATTTTAGATTTTGATGAAGATGGGATGCTATCTTCAAACGATATAAAGGAACTTGTTGATAGATTAACGGGAAGAAATAAACTAACTGAAGAAGAAATGAATCTTTTAATAGATAAAGTTTTGGAAGAAGCGGATTTAGATCAAGACAGAATGCTATCTTTAGCGGAATTTGAACATTTGGCTAAGAAATCACCAGATTTTACCAAGTAAATTCAATTTATTCGCTTAAATTTTTAATAAAACAAACATCTCATCCAGAAACAAAACCTCATCCAGACACAAAAACATGTCAAAAACCAAAGATTTTGGGTTTCAATCTTACTCTAAGCAAAAATAAATTTTAAAAAAAGAAGGATAAAATGATGAATTTGAATCTCCGAGAATAAAAATTACACGAAGAACGTAAGTTAGGATTGCACTCCTTTTTAATTAATTTTAGTTTTGTAAAAGTGAAATGTAATCACATGAGCTTAAATATTAATTCTTAAACAAAATAGACCAAAAAATATATTTTTTTTCTATATAAATCTGGCTTTATATTATAATTTAGTGTGGCTGGCTTATATTATAATAAAGTCTGGCTGACTTTATATTATAATTTAGTGGAAGAGAAGGGTCTATTATATGTTATTGCTTAGGCCACAAGTCTTNCAGTTATATCATAACTTTATCTTGTGTCTTTATTCTCATTTAAAGTCTCATAATATTCATATTTTCCATTTGTTATAATTTATTTATGTAATATGAATATTATCCAAGAAACGAAAATTAATATCATAGTAAATGCATGACTAATATTGTTATTTATATAGAAACATTGTTATATAGCTTATAAACAATATATATATATGTTGATGTAGATGCTATCAGGATATAATATGTACAGATTATCTTACAATAAGTATACAGACTGCTTTAATATAATGTAGGTATGTTTATATATTTAAAATAATTAATGGTTTTTTTTTCTTTATACATTTACAGATCATTTCAAATCCATTTTTGATAAGAAAATTGAATTCCTTTTGAGTCTTCATTGTTTTGAATAAGCTGGAAGCTATATCAGTTGATTCACTTATTTTAATTCATTAATCGAAGCAGATATATCTGCAACTTCCTTTTACTACTGAATAGCTGTCAGAAAATTAGAAAATGTAGTACTTAATATACTTAAAAATCAAAAATTTTGTAAATTTTACACTCTATTTCAATATAACTTATTTATATTCTTGTTTAATTGATTTATATTTGCAAGTAATTATATTTAATTAAATTTATATCAAATTTATGTTAAAATAATAATCCTTAAAATTGGAAATGTTTAGGATAATATTAAAATAAATTATTAATTTAGTATAATAATTTTATTATAGATTCTTATTTTGAAACATTTTTATGTAATAAAAACTTATTTATAACACTTTTTTGTAATTAAAAATCATTTATTTTTTTAAATGGAAGAATTCCTTTTTGAGTTGTGATCTACCTGTTGGATGATATACTGAGTTTATATGCCTATCATTACATTTATATATAGTAAAATAAACAGTTTATTATTAAAATAATTTATTAAAAAAAGTAATATCTTATATAGAATAGAATTTAGTACAGAAATATTAAAAATAGCTATTAAGAAACATGTTTAAATAAATGCTACATTATCAACCTATTAAAACATTAAACGCTCTTTTTTTTTTTATCAATATTAATTATAAAATTAACTCGTCAAATCTAATTAATAAGAGAAAATATAACATCAACAATAAATAATGATAACAGTTATGAAAATTATAACGTCAAATTATTATTTCATAACGGAATTTCCTGAGTAATTTCATTCAGGAAGGAAGATTTAGATCATAATCTGTCCTTATTTGTTAACATGAGTAACTTTCTCACGTTAATAAAAATCATTTTATTGCATTTAATTATGACATAATTCGAATTAAAACTAAAAATTTTTTATGACAAATAACAAAAGATTACTAAATTATTTTTCAATCTGACATTCCAGCTAATAATCAAGATCAATCGCGAAAAAGAATAAGAGAACCCTTCAGAACACGTCTCAAATTTGCGAAAGATCTTCAATTTAACTTTCTTATAATTCTCTTTTTGTATTTACAGTAATTATTTTAAATTTAAATGTGCCCATTTAAAAGTTAGTCATACTTCAAATTGAATATTTGAAATAATAATTTACAATATTTCTAATGTAATTTTAAAAAAACAAGTATATTTTATAAAATAAGTTTTTGAGGGTTTTCTCATCATAAACATTGTTTTGATTCATTATAAAATCGCAAAATAAAAATCTTCTTTTGGACTCTATACAAAGAGGTCCATTCTTATAGTTTTTACTGTAATTTCCTGCATATAACCCGCGGATCATCAATATTGTAATTTGAAAGCGATGTTTTAGTATCTTTGCCGATTATATACAAGAAATCATGGTATATACTGTATNAAATAAATAATAACATTTTTAATGATTGAAACGTCACTTTAACCTCCGGGAGAATGTAAAAGTGTAACTCAACCGTGACACCTCATTAAAGTCTTATTAATAATTAGAATATGTCAATTAATACCAATTTATATTCTATTCATCACAGTAGACGGGGTGTAGAGATGCGTGTTTATCACCCTGTGATAAAAAATTATCTTAATTTTTTAATGGTAAATGCTTTATTGATGTTAATTATCTAAGAATTTCATTAATTCCCTAGCTAAATACCACGCTTACATTAAATATTTAATGCGATAAGTGCCATTATTTTGATCATTTTTAAGTTAAATTTTTAAATATTTCATAACTTTGCTGCTTAATTATAAATTAATCATATTTACTTCGACATGACCTGTATTTTTCTAGTTATTCATCCATCTTCCTACGTTTCCTTCCTATGGTTAACAATGTATAGTCATGTAATAAAAGTTTCTTTGCTTGTTTAACCACTGATAAATCATCTTATTCTTTGAATGGTTGATTCAATAGAAAATGGATGAACATCCGCAGCAATCTGAATTGGGGTTTCCTGAAATAATTCAACTGACCCTCATCTCTACATCATTAATTTGGTAGTAGATGCGGGTTATTGTTATGTCCCTGCTTTACAACTGTTTTCTCGTTTATCTTGATTTATTTTACCATCTACATGCTTCTTTTACCCATCTACAACTATAAAAATTCTTCATATATGTCAAAAAATTTTTATAAATGAAATATTTATAAACAATGTCAACAAACCGGATCTATATGGTTAAGCATTTATATAGATATAATGCAAAATAGATCAATTATAAAATTGAATGTCACAAATAAACAATAGAGATTTATTTAGCTTTAAATAATCTTATCAAATATTAAATCTCTAAGAGTTATATAGGCCAGGGGATTAGTTAGATTATTTTGGTTGGAATCTGTTTATAAATAGAGCATCTGTGACTAATTTAGTAGAACAGGGATAAAGAATCATGAGTGTTTGTGTGGCAAGTTCATTCAACAATTAAGATTTCTTTCAATCTGCCTCTTAAATATTCATCATTGCGTGCTTCTTAATCGCTATTGCAATACGTTACGATGTTTACTTAGTTTTTCTTTCACGAACAGGTTAGCATTCAGCATTATTTTTTTTATTGATTTCACACATTCTATTGGTAATCAGTGATCCTTGTCAAATTTCTTCGGTTGATTCAGCTTAGTACGTATCAATTAAGCGCTTTTATACAAGTGAATGCTCTGTCGTTTAGTATGATTTATGGATTTTATTACTCCAAAAACAAAATTGCATTCTAAACATCTCTATTTTTTTATTCTTCAAAATCTTTGAATTTAAAATTTTCAGGAATAAAATCAAATTCTTCAGAATATGAATTAATTGATTCATATTAATTTCCTGAAGAATATTCCAGAGATAGCACAATATCAATAGAAGAACACGGTTTACATTAATATACATATGCGCCCATTACGTTGTCCTGAATGGTTTCTGTTTATACAATTTATGATTAATCTTCCAAATTATACTACCTTTTACTTTACCGGCTGTTATAACAAACGGAAAGTATGGCAATCCGGCCAAAAATGACTCGCTTCCTCCACCAGATTATTACATTTTTGGGGGTCAGGACACCTTGAAACGTCGAGAAATGCAAAAAAATTCGTGGATAATTTCTGTATGTATGGATGTTAGTGTGTGTGTTTATCGGTGTGTAGGGCACTCACTCTGTTTGAAGCTTAATAGCTCTTGTGCTTTTTGTCGAAAACTTCTGTAATTATGCACGGAAGTTTGTTTATTAGAGGAATTGAATCTATTAAATTTTGGTGGTTAAAGGTCGAGGGGGTGGGAAGATAATAGGGTCGTGTGTAGTGCTGTAGGATTGGACTTAATGACGATTTTACTCGTTATCATCATTTACAGTTTTATTATAAAACCCATCCCTACCCTCAAAATTAACCTTTTTGCCGTTTTATAATAGTTAAAAATATAAGAAGTTTTTAAATAAAATATGATAACAGATGGCACTATCAAAATTTTAAATGTTGCCGGGAAAGTTGAGCAACTCGTTGCTGTTTTTTTTTGTTGATTACCCCGACATCTGAAGATTATTCTTGTATAATCGTTTACTTGACGATGTCTCTTGAAATTAACTTTATTTTCCGATTAATTTTCTTTCTTTCTGTAAAAAATGTTAAAATGGATAAACTTTATGAATGTTCTATAAATAAATAATCATTCTTAATTATAATTTCCAGTGAATTTTTTCATTATACTTACCTTCTGAGATACCTAAAGTAACCTAAAGAACGGTTCGATTAATTTTCCATTAACGTTTTCATGTAAACAACAAATTTATTCATCATGAACTTAAAAAAATATTCAATAAATGAAAACCATTTTGATATGGGAAATTCGTCATAGTCATGCTATGTGATTTATTGATTTTTCCAAACAATCCAACAGCGGAAACAACTGTAAATAGTTTTATTTCTCGTTTCGTTACATTTAATTTCTAACAAATTTTCATTTTCTCACCTTTATTTGCTTAGTTTTTGTAAAATTTTAAAAATATTCACGGCTTCTAAGTTTATTTTTATTCAATTTTATACAAGTTTATTTAGATATATTACGTAGAAAATTCTAAATGTTTATCTATATATGCAATTTATATAGATAAACATTATATATATATTTATAAAACGTTATGTAAAAGAAATTTTAATTAATTAATTAGGTAATTAATTAATTTAATTATTAATGTCAATTTTCATCTTTTTGCTTAATTTTATTAGTTAATAATAATTTAATTTGATAATTAAGTTCTTTTTAATTTGCACTCTCTCCTGTTATCATGGCATGAAAATATTCACATTTAACACATTTTTGCTTAAATTATTAAATAATATAATTATTATATAAATTTTTTACTGAAAGTTTGTAATAATAGTAAAAAAAATGCTCCATTAAATTAATTAATATATCATTTACCTATTGAAAGTAAATTAAAATAATGGGAAAATACAAATGCACAAAGTCTTTATCTATATTATTTTATATTATAATGTTGTAATAGATTTTTTAATAGATAAAGTTATATAATATTTAATGAATATAGAATATTTTTGCTGTTTTAGATAAAGTAATTATTATAAAATGTGCATGATATTAACCAAAACCTTTTAAAATAATGAAAAGTTTTTTTAATTAAATAATAAGTCCTGTATATTCTCCTAGTATTGTACTATGAAATAACTAAGCTAAATTACTCACAATATTAAGAGTTCACTACATACAGTACTGTACATAAAGAATAGCAATGATTACAAAACTGTTCACTATATCAAGTTATCTTCATTATATCAAGAATTAACTGTATATTTATTGTGCAAATTGTTTTTATAAATTCTTATAGGTACTGTACATACAATAATACTCTTTTATGCATGGAACATGATATAATCATTGCATAAAAGATTATATCATGTTCCATGCATAAAAGATTAAATTTTTGATCTATGTCCAGGACCATGCTACATAGTTGTCACGAAGCTTTACAGTTTACAAATTACAAGAAATTCAATAAAAAGTTTTGTAACAAGTTACAAGCTGCATTTACAGTACTTGCTATAAGTTATACTTGCTTGTAATTTTTATGCAATAGGGCCCAGGGCTCTTGCCAAATGGTTTTGCTCTCCACCTCTAGATCCTGTCTATAGATTTTATAATAAAATTTTGAAAATATCTACTTAGGAAAGCTGTTCGGTATAAGTAAAGCTGCTGAAGTATATTATAGGATTGTTTTATCTCCAAAGTACAGGAAGTAGAGAATTGACAGATGTTCCTTGACATTACTCACTCTCTCTTCATCCAACCTTGAAAATTTACTATATAAAATTTTAACTCAGACATTTCCAGCGTAAGATCTATGAATAAAACTATGTATAATACTTTTATTCTAGTAAATTAAAGTGAAAAAATTAAGATTAAAAAGCACGAAAAGAAACCACGCGAGCTCAAAATATGAAACAATTTACGAATATGAATTTTGTAGTTTGAATTGGCTCAATATAAACGTATACAAGTAAACACCATTATATAAACCCACGCGTATATTTAAATGTTTATATGAACAACTTCCGTTAAATTTACAACATTATTTCTGAAACTTTACGTAATATCCCGCCGTTAATTTAACAAAACTGTATGAAAACTGAACATAAAAATTTTATGAGCTTTTTTCTAACTTTTCGGTTAGAAAATTGTATACAAAAGTTGCAGGAAGTAAATTCTCTTTTATATATTGTTTACTAAAATCTAATAGACCGTTGAATTGCACAGACTTTTAAATATTTATAAGCGTTAAATTTTGATATTTTCTAATATTTAAGCTTAAATTCGAAATTTAAATTTGAATTTTCCTGCGTTCTTATAATTCCCGACATTCTTAGGAAGTTAAAAAAGAAAATAATACGCATGCGTCATTTCCTAGCTATCAATATTTCTGAGAAATTGTAACTAGTTTCCTGACGTCACATCCGTCGTTGAGTTAAAATTTATTTTTATAATTTAGAAAATTTCCTTATATTGTATTAAAATTTTTAATTCCTGTTATGTTATTGAATAAATAAATATGCAAGACTTTATTGGAAATAAATATTGATTTTTATTTAACAAATTCATAAAAGCGGCGGAAGTGACGTCGAGAATTTTAAATTACGTTTTTCTGGAAAACCAATTGGAAAATTTTGTTTTTGTTGACCATTTATAAAATGGCCAACAAAACAAATATGCTTTAGAACGAGTTTTTTATTCTTAATAGAAATAATTTAAGCTCCTTATATAGGCCTATATATATATATATATCTTTCTACATTGTGGGCCTTCTTAATTAAGAAGGGGGCCTTTTTTTATAATGGGTTCGTCCAGACCTACAATGGCCGGGTGGTGAGGAAGGGACCCAGCATATTCGGGACAGACAATCTATAAAAAAAAATTGCTGGGTCTACTCGCCCAGATTCAATCCTGGATTCCCCAGAGCAGTAGGCTGACTCCCTAACCGCCTCGGCCGTTTAGCTATCTAATTTAAGCTCTTATAAAAGAAAATTATAATCCTATTTGTTCAGATTTGAAGATTCTTGTGGATGATAACATTCTTAAAGAATCTGATTGACAGAAAGAATAATAAGTTTCTTTTTAAAGAATAAAAAAAATAAATAAACATAGANAATAAAAGAATGTTATTAAAGTTTGATTTTATTTAAATATAAGCTGATTTAGTTTAAATATTTGTTGTATATTATTTACAAAATTCATTAGAAAATTAAATATTTTATTGTTTTAAACATAATTAAGATTGATTAGTAGTTCCTGATCTACTACTTGGGAAGTAATGTATGATACAGTCTATTGATTGGAAACTATTCTGAGCATAATTTTTAGAAATGACTGATACTTTATGAGTTATGAAAATAACTATATAATATAGAATTTAAAAATAGAACAAATTTAAGTCAAAACTCCTTTTTTTTCTAAATATAATTAATCATTTATTTTAATCAATTAGACCTAATTATCCAACCAAAAAAATTAATTTTGTTATCAAGGTTTATTCAGTGAAAAAATTTTAATACTAATTTTAAATTTTAATAGAATATTTCTAAGAGAACAATTGAAAAAATATTATATTTTAACAAACAAAAATTTAAAAAATTAGACATTTTTCAATTGTTTTTCTTATTAATTCATATTTTAATTTACTCAGGACAGGTTATTCTTTTTACTTTTTACTAAAAATATGTTTTAAAAAAAAATATGCATAACTTTGGAGAGGTTTTTTGTAATAATTTTTGGAATAAAATTTAAATATTTAAACAGTTATATCATAACTTTATCTTGTGTCTTTATTCTCATTTAAAGTCTCATAATATTCATATTTTCCATTTGTTATAATTTATTTATGTAATATGAATATTATCCAAGAAACGAAAATTAATATCATAGTAAATGCATGACTAATATTGTTATTTATATAGAAACATTGTTATATAGCTTATAAACAATATATATATATGTTGATGTAGATGCTATCAGGATATAATATGTACAGATTATCTTACAATAAGTATACAGACTGCTTTAATATAATGTAGGTATGTTTATATATTTAAAATAATTAATGGTTTTTTTTTCTTTATACATTTACAGATCATTTCAAATCCATTTTTGATAAGAAAATTGAATTCCTTTTGAGTCTTCATTGTTTTGAATAAGCTGGAAGCTAGATCAGTTGATTCACTTATTTTAATTCATTAATCGAAGCAGATATATCTGCAACTTCCTTTTACTACTGAATAGCTGTCAGAAAATTAGAAAATGTAGTACTTAATATACTTAAAAATCAAAAATTTTGTAAATTTTACACTCTATTTCAATATAACTTATTTATATTCTTGTTTAATTGATTTATATTTGCAAGTAATTATATTTAATTAAATTTATATCAAATTTATGTTAAAATAATAATCCTTAAAATTGGAAATGTTTAGGATAATATTAAAATAAATTATTGATTTAGTATAATAATTTTATTATAGATTCTTATTTTGAAACATTTTTATGTAATAAAAACTTATTTATAACACTTTTTTGTAATTAAAAATCATTTATTTTTTTAAATGGAAGAATTCCTTTTTGAGTTGTGATCTACCTGTTGGATGATATACTGAGTTTATATGCCTATCATTACATTTATATATAGTAAAATAAACAGTTTATTATTAAAATAATTTATTAAAAAAAGTAATATCTTATATAGAATAGAATTTAGTACAGAAATATTAAAAATAGCTATTAAGAAACATGTTTAAATAAATGCTACATTATCAACCTATTAAAACATTAAACGCTCTTTTTTTTTTTATCAATATTAATTATAAAATTAACTCGTCAAATCTAATTAATAAGAGAAAATATAACATCAACAATAAATAATGATAACAGTTATGAAAATTATAACGTCAAATTATTATTTCATAACGGAATTTCCTGAGTAATTTCATTCAGGAAGGAAGATTTAGATCATAATCTGTCCTTATTTGTTAACATGAGTAACTTTCTCACGTTAATAAAAATCATTTTATTGCATTTAATTATGACATAATTCGAATTAAAACTAAAAATTTTTTATGACAAATAACAAAAGATTACTAAATTATTTTTCAATCTGACATTCCAGCTAATAATCAAGATCAATCGCGAAAAAGAATAAGAGAACCCTTCAGAACACGTCTCAAATTTGCGAAAGATCTTCAATTTAATCTTCTTATAATTCTCTTTTTGTATTTACAGTAATTATTTTAAATTTAAATGTGCCCATTTAAAAGTTAGTCATACTTCAAATTGAATATTTGAAATAATAATTTACAATATTGCCAATGTAATTTTAAAAAAACAAGTATATTTTATAAAATAAGTTTTTGAGGGTTTTCTCATCATAAACATTGTTTTGATTCATTATAAAATCGCAAAATAAAAATGTTCTTTTGGACTCTATACAAAGAGGTCCATTCTTATAGTTTTTACTGTAATTTCCTGCATATAACCCGCGGATCATCAATATTGTAATTTGAAAGCGATGTTTTAGTATCTTTGCCGATTATATACAAGAAATCATGGTATATACTGTATATAAATTAAATGTTATTCTTTATTTCTATAGCTTTGGGGAAAAAAAGTAATGCCCAGTTTAAGATTAATTTAGCCTGGGCTTAACATCTCTCTCAAACTCTATATTTATGTTAGAAAAATTGAAAATAATTTTATAAGAATTAATTGATTTTGATTTTTTAAAGTAATAAAATTTCGAAATTATAAATGGATTTTCTAAGAATAGAAAAATTTGCTCATTAATCTGTAATTGTTTCACCATTTCACAGATAAATCTTAATTCTAATAAAGGAACAAGTAGATAAATTACACAATTAGGTAATTTGTAAAAAATCGTAAAAAATTTAAATCGATAAGAATTAATAAAAAATGTCGTTCTCATCTCATCAATTTAGTAAATTGATACGATCATTCAAGATACTTTCTAATTCCCGGAAGATCGATCGATCAGCGACTGAATTTATTGAAAATTGAAAAGAAAAATGTTAAATAAATTATAGTTTTTTTAAAAGTAATCAATCTTTTCGAGATTAGATTTTCTATAAAAAGTGCTTTTTAATATTTTAAAGAATAAAATATTTTCAAAATCCAATTTGAATTGATAATGTGTAAGCTGAGTGTAATAAGTATATTCAATTATTCGTTTTGTTTTATAAAATATTCTTCATATAGTTAAAGGCTGGGTAGAAGAGTGACCAAATATTAAAATACAACATAAAAAAACGAGTTGCTTAACTTTTCCGGCAATAACATTTAATGCGTGTGGCGCCATCTGTTATGATATTTTATTTTAAAATAGCAAAAAGTTTAATTTTAAGGGAATAGATGAGTTTTATTTTTATTTTTAAAAAAGTTTTAAATGTTAACGAATAAAATTTTCATTAAATCCGATCCTTCTCGTGATATGACCCATGATCTCCTCTATCTCCTCACCTCCTTGATCTTTAATTAACCAGCAAAATTTAATAACATTAATTCCCCTAATACATATACCACTATGCAAAATTTCAGAAATTTTCGACAAAAAGCACAGAAATTATTATTATTACCCTTCAACTGTAAGTATTCAACTTCGTGAATTTAATATAAATTTGTGATTATGAATTTATGTCTAACTCAAGAATAATCAGACAAACCGATAAATAAATAAATAAATATTATGTATAAGTATTTTATAGATATATACAGTATTATATAAAAATATAGAAAATATATAGAAAATAGTTAAGAAGGATTGACTAAAGCAAAGTTAACTTTGCTTTAGTCAATCCTTATTCAACATGGAGACAGCATAACCAATACTAGCTCTGTCTTAACTTTCACCTGAGGAAAAAAAAACTGATTTTTGTGATCTCTGCTCCCAGTACTGAGCTCTTGTATGAACTATTTTTAATTTTAAAATACATTTAAGAGACTTCACTATATTCTGCTTCTTATTTTTATTCATTTTCTTCTCCTCCTGAACATTTTGGAGTGCTAATTTTACCGTTTTGCCTCCACACCCATCGTGGGATCATCGTGCACCTCACGATATCATTTAACTAATGAGAATGCCAATGCAAATTGGTAAAAACAAATAAAATTGGCGTACTCTATAGATCGATGTTAAATTTGCCATTCTTTCTCTTATAAGATAAAATACATTCGTTTCCTTTCATAAATTTGCTATAAGTTATCAATACTTGAAATAACTCACTTATATTACTAAAAATACGATTTAATATTTAATTAACAGAATATTACATACTGTATAATTACATACATGCGAAGAGAATATTAAAATTCTGGATGAGTCCGAGTTCGAATCCTAGTATGCATCAATAAAGTAACAATTTTTAAAATTTTTAGTAATGTTTTCCAAATAAATTTAGATACTTTTTAAATTATTAATTTATTATTCACTTGTAACATATTGCTTGTTCACTAATTGGTTGTTATCTATACTTGTTTCGTAAATCTCAAAGTACAGTACTTAGGGGATGAAATTGCTTTTGCTCTGTAAACCGATACACATCTTATATTCGAAGATATATGAGTTGTTTCCTGCTTTATTAGAGTTCTGGAATTACACTGTTAGCATTTCTACTATATCAAGTAGGTTCCATCTCACTATTTGAGCGATCCATTACTGTATTATTAATTATCATAGAAAGGCAAAAAAGGTAAAATTTTGAGGATAGAGATGAGTTTTTTAAAATATTGCAAATGAAAATAACGAGTAAAATCTTCATTAAGTCTTACCCCACTCAACGTATGAAAAATGACCCCTTCTATCTCCCATCCTCTCGAGTTCCGTACTCTAAAATTTAATAATATAAATGTTCCTTGCATACTAGTTATCATGACAAATTTTGTTACTTAACCTTTATTCTATCTTGAATTATTAAACGAAACACACAAGCACATACACATATTTCCTCAGAAATTTTTTCTTTCACTTTTTTCGGTTTGGGGTCTCAATACGCGATATTAGACGGCCGGATGGCCGAGTGGTCAAAGTGGCAGCCTATCTTTCTGAGGGACCCGAGATTCTAGGCGGATCGAAAAATCCCCAGGAATTTTCAGGGGGTGATCCAACCGGATATGTAGGCCCCTGTCCTTCACTACCCGGCAGCCCCATTCTGGGCCTGGCCGAACCCATAATGGGCTTGCTGAAAGAGGCCTTATTAGTGCCCATGGGGAGGAATAATTATTATTATATAAGATAGCATAATTAGTATGTTGTCTGAACAATAATCCCTTTACATTCTGGCAGTTTTTGTAGAAATTTGTAAGTTGTCCAAAGTGAGCCCGAAGAGGGATTGGAAAATTACTAATCCGAAATGTATTGTTAAATACGCGAAATAAAGGAAACTGTTTTAATTAATCTTGGTCTCTGCTAATTGTGAATAATTAAGAAAGACGTGATAAATATTATTAGTCTCATTATCGGAAGAAGAAACCTTTACTTGTAACATGAATATACATAGTTTAAATAAACTTTCGTGCATTTTTAATAGTTAATTTAAATTTTAAAAATTCTATAAATTAAAATTTAAATCTTAATTCATATATTTATTATTCAAGATTATCAATTCGTAATTATATGTTAGCTTTCTATTTCACAAAAAAAAAAAAAAAAAAAAAANCAATTTTCATCTTTTTGCTTAATTTTATTAGTTAATAATAATTTAATTTGATAATTAAGTTCTTTTTAATTTGCACACTCTCCTGTTATCATGGCATGAAAATATTCACATTTAACACATTTTTGCTTAAATTATTAAATAATATAATTATTATATAAATTTTTTACTGAAAGTTTGTAATAATAGTAAAAAAAATGCTCCATTAAATTAATTAATATATCATTTACCTATTGAAAGTAAATTAAAATAATGGGAAAATACAAATGCACAAAGTCTTTATCTATATTATTTTATATTATAATGTTGTAATAGATTTTTTAATAGATAAAGTTATATAATATTTAATGAATATAGAATATTTTTGCTGTTTTAGATAAAGTAATTATTATAAAATGTGCATGATATTAACCAAAACCTTTTAAAATAATGAAACGTTTTTTTAATTAAATAATAAGTCCTGTATATTCTCCTAGTATTGTACTATGAAATAACTAAGCTAAATTACTCACAATATTAAGAGTTCACTACATACAGTACTGTACATAAAGAATAGCAATGATTACAAAACTGTTCACTATATCAAGTTATCTTCATTATATCAAGAATTAACTGTATATTTATTGTGCAAATTGTTTTTATAAATTC